AGTTTGCTCTTGGGGTGAAAGTAGGGCGAACCAAGAAATCGTTTTTTTGACTTATATTGGTCTTAAACGAATCGTTGCATCGTTTTGAAGCTGTTTGGGGTCTATGCTTGTATAATTTAATGCTTCAGGATTCGGGCTTTGAAGGCACAAGCTCAAGCCGCTGCCAATCCCAATCCGCAGCCGAAGCAAGCCGAGCAGAAGCGGGCTGAACAACCACCAGGAGGGAATCCATGTTATCTTCCATAATTTACCTAAGTGTGAATGTTGGAGATTTGCAGGATCCTATGTGGTTCAGACTGCGCTCGTCCACACTGACTTCCATGAAACCCAGCTCATGACTGAAGAGATGGTTGTACAAGCTGTTGCACAAGCCGCGTCTACAGTACCGGTGGAAACCATGCCCTCGCCCAAAACAACCCCAGAAGAGCGCCGTGCTCAATACCAAGGCAAGCCGATAGGCGGTTCAGCGACTTTGGCATTGGGCGCCCCTGCTGAAGCTTCAGCATTGGAGGACCCAAAGGCTTCCATGGTGCCTGTCGGCGAGGAGAAGAAGGACCCGCTTGAGTTTCCCATTCCGCATCCGTATATTGCATGATATTGCATGCGTGACAACACACGTCGTATACATGATGCAGATTTTGAGATTCAAACATGCATGGAATTCAAAATGGCACGACCATGCAGGACGATCCAGAGATGATGCATGACTCGCAGCTTGATGCGGGGGAGGCCTACGTGACGAGGGACCAGCAGCTGCAAAGCAAGAAAGCACGGAAACAGAACCGTGGGAAGGGTCAGGCCCGCAAGAAGAAGGGTGGCAAGAAGAAGGGTGGCAAGAAGAATAGAAAGGGGCAAGTGGGTCGTAAGAAGGTCCGCAGCCCAATCAAGAAACGACGACAAGTCTTGAAGTCTGCCAGCAGCGTTGCTGGGCATGATTGCGCTGATGATCATCCCCGGCGCAAGAGGCGCACTTCTGCCAAGGCAGCTGCGGAAGAGCAGCCAGCTGTTGTAGAGGCTTTGCATCCACCAGTGCCTGAGCCTAAGGAGAAGGCGAAGGCAAAGCCAAAGGGACGGGCAAAGGCAAAGGCTGCTGTCAAAAGCCCAAAGGCAAAGGCTGCTGTCAAAAGCCCAAAGGCAAAGGCTGCCCGTGAACCCAAGACCGCTGCCAAGAGGGGCAGGAAGCGGCAAACTGCTGCGGATGCCATCATGAACAACCCGGATCGCTCTTATGCTGTGGTGTCGGCCATGATGCACTTTGCTCAGAGGTTCCCAAAAGAGGGAGATATGGCTTTAGACGCTTTCAAGACGGCCGTGAGGGCTGAATTGCGAGAAATGGAGTGGTACCGTCCCAACATCTATTGGACCAGGAATGGGTGTGGAGTGACCCAGAAGAGGCCTTGTGCAGGGCAGAAGGCAAGTGACATCCACACCTTCAGCTTCAACACAGCAAAGGTACCATGCCGTGAGAAGCTCGCAATCGCCGTCTTCTGTGCAGAGGCCGCAGCCCCTCGTTCTGGAATGTGATATGCGTGACCATATATAAATATGCAGCGAGGAATATACCGAACCCTCAAAGAAGTTGCAAACATCTATGCATGTTTGATCATGTACCATGTAGGTTGACAGAGCACAAAAGGCCCACACCCTTTTTCAGATCGATCTCTAGATATATTAATATTGGCGATAGCACCCAGGCTTGGGGCCTGGAGAACACGTGGGAGGGCTACGAGAAGGGCGGCTTCGAGATTAGAAAGCTCAAAGCCAATGCTGCCATTGCGTTGCACATGCTTTCCACCGGCAACAACGACTTGGAGTGGCTCCGAAATGAGTGAGGGCTACCGCATTTTGTTTCATATCGGTATTGCCGGTATCATCGCACACTGTAGGCCAGTGTGTATCCAGGGGTCTTAGATATGTATGCAACATGCGTCTAGACTTGGCCAAAGGCATTATACCTGAAATGAGCTGTCCGCATGCCAGTGTGTTTTCATTCGTTATAAGAACCATGACTTGTGTCATCGGATGTGCCACCGCGCATGGACGCATACACCTTTTGAGTGCTAGCGCCGCAAACCTTTGCCGTTGAGATGGGAGTCCAAAACAAAAGAGCGTTTACAGAACCATCAGTACTTATGTATATAGTCAGTGGATGCATTTTGTGCAAAAGCGTTCCAAAGCCCATGGTTATTTTTTTCAATGGCAGCCTCTATAGCGTTCCCCCATGTTCAATCACAGTGGCACTGCGTGCCCACGCCTCTCTGGGCAGGTTTGATGGCATCACATGCCGCGGAACCTCAGCCGGAGACAGTTTCTGGTTCGTCGAAAGCTCAAGAAGAAACCTCGCAACTCCGGCATCATTTTATCTCGTTCATTTGACAAGTGGCAGTGAGGGGCCAAGAGTCCTATATATTCAGAATCTTTCCAAGTTTTGATGGACGCTTTGTCATGACTTGCTGAAAGCAAACCTGCCGGCCTCCTGTAGCCTTTTTTGCATCATTGTTCTTGGAGATAGGCCACAATGCCTGTTCCTGAAGGAAAAGACTTAGATGCCCTCATGTATAGGTTGCTTCGCATGAAGTGCCCGAAGGCAAGCGCTCCACATACAGAAGCTTACATACATATATACGCATGCCGTTGCAGGGCATTGTGATCTGGAATGTGTTTCAAAAAACCACCCATTCAAACATGCTACAGTGCCATCCGTCCAGGTGTTGGCCTCGATCATACTCTGCCTTCTCTGGACGACCACTGTGGACTTCAACGAGGCACCCACAGATCTTTGGGGATCTACGGGAGTCACAGAACCTGTATATTTTGCAAAGGTGGTTGGGTACCAGCAAGAAAACATATAAGTACGTTGCAAATTCAACTGATGAACTCCAACCCGATGTTGAATATAAAAGAGTTGAACCACTCAGTCCCCGAGCCAGGAGTATGAAATGTTGGAGTTCTTCGCCGGCGCCGGAAACCTCAGCCGATATATGAAGCTTTGTGGCAGGCGTACTGGGTCTCTAGACATCAAATACCAAACCAATCCTTCGAAGAAGAGTGCCTTCAAGAGCGACCCAATGGATATTCTGAGTCCTTCGGGATTTGCGTTCCCTGGGTGAAAGCAATCTCAGAACTGTTGTATATTCATGCGTTTATATATAAATATGTTTATATAATATCGATCGATGCCGTCGATGCTGGTATATCTTTAGACACGCTTCGAGCTTTTCCAAGTGTGTTCCATGACCAGCTGAACCACACAAATAAGGGTGGCACTGGCATGCTTATTCAAGTGCCGGCCTGACCGCTTCATGGCCATGTTTGCCTTGAAGTGCGCTTCATGGACTGCGATTAACTCTGGAACCTCCAATAGGGCTCCATGCGCGAGCATTGGCTTTGATGAGTACCCCAGTGTTCTGGAGGCGAATGCCTTGTGCGAGCGGATGCTCAGAGTGAGTAAATAGTGGGCCACTCACCACCCATATATATATATATAAGAGAGAGAGAGAGGGAGAGCAGGTTCCTTAATCCAGAATCCTTGTGCGCTGGCTGAGGACCATCTACCTTCTGGTGGTTGTGGTATGTCTTGGTGGAGTCTTTGGGTTAGAGCAACCACGGCTTTCCAACTTTGAGTTCTACCCCATGTTCCTGGAGTTTCGCGGGCTGTGCTATGAAGTCAATGGGGGGTCCTCAGCTGCCTTCACCTTAGCCATTCGAAAGAAACATCTTCAACAATTGGATCATTCTATATAGGCATTTGATGTTTTGTTGGTCGAGGTCTGGCGTGTGGGTTGGTGGATGGCTCATTATCAGAGCCTATCCCCAAAGCGTCACTATGCCTTCAGTAACAGCCAGGTCATCCAAAAGCTGGACCACGGAAAGCTTTCGGGATGGAAGAAAAAGGGAAAGGAGAAGCTCCAAACAACTATTCAATATCAGTCGGCTGATGGAAAACGCTGCTTTAAGGGCACAGCAGCACTACGCAAAACAGAGACTCTTGATTCCCTGTTTCAATGTTTCAGCGTTTCTTGATTCCAATGGTACTTAATGTATGGTAGACTAGGTTGGATGTCACATTGCTTCAGAAGTACATAGACCATAGTGTGTTTCTAACTGTAGTGCGATCGCCCCCAAAAGCAATTGCCCCCAAAACAAAGAAAGCTATATGTGGGATGCAGTTGAGGGTTAAAGAGTTTGGGTACCACCTTTCTTTCACGCAAGCTTCAAAAGACGTTTCGTACTATTAGCATACACACCTGGCACGGGTTGGACACAACCTTCGGGGGTTGGTTCCCATTTTACTATGCGCGACTGCATGGATTCCGAGATATGAAAGCATGCCATATATGCGTGGACAAAACTCAAACCACCATGCACAACTGAAAGCCCGTGGTGAGCTAAGGGAATACACTGTCCAGTTCGGCCGCTGCTTAGCCGACTTGTATGATGAGATGGTCATCTCGCCGTGTGGCCAGCCCAAGCTCCCATGCCTTCTCCCGCCTGCTCAAGAGTCGTACCAGTTCATGGGCCAGGGCTTTGACCTGGGATACGCACGCCTGAATGAAGTATATAGTTATTTACGGAGAGGTCGGAATCTCAAGATTCCTCCTGGTTGGAGCCACCTGCTGCCCAAACCAGAGTGATCTACTGCTCGATATTTGTTTTGTTGGGCAACTTGTGGGGTAAGAGTGGAAAGGCATCATGTGGAAGATTGCCTGAGTTGTATGGGCATGTATCCACGTGGTGACTTCCGCACAGGTTGGAGGTTCTTGGTCCATGTTTTCTACACAAAAGTTGCTCCCTTAGGGCTCTTGGATGGAGAAAGTCAGGGACCCCGTAGAATACCCGTAGCAAACCGTAGAAAACCCGTGGATACCCGTAGTCGTGTTCCAAAACATCGTGTTTTTATAAAAACATCGTGTTTTCCAACCCGTAGTCAACCCGTAGAAACCCGTAGAAACCCGTAAAAAATCTATGGGTTTTTTGCTTACCATGTTTGGACCTCCACAAGGGCATTTTGCCCTTGACCTGGTTAATCCATGGGTCTGTCGAATGTGACAGGCGCTATTTTGCAGGATCTGCGCCACTGCCTCGGAATGGGAAAAGGATATATATGTTGCTCACATATCATTGATCAAAACAATAAACAGTTGAACACCGTGCAACTTCATATCCATTCGATTCGCCGGCAGCATTTAGCTTGGGAACACGCTCAAACTGGTTTCTGGAAAACAGGTGCTGGTCATGTCGCAGGGCGCGTCGACAACTTCCCGGGTTTGGAGTTGTCAAACCCTGGCCGATGGGGTGGATAACATCGCGGCTCTGGCAAAGAAATACGAAGAAGAAGAGTATGAACTTGAACAACGGATTAAAGAACCTTAGCTGAGGTTTTCCTTGTATATAGAACGAAGCGTTCGATAACAAAAATAGTATACTAAGGAATTGGAGCAGAATGGGCAATCACATTGTGAACCAACCCGTGCGGCCACTCCGGAACAGGTGACTGTGTGGTTTAGTATACCAATCCGCTTTCTCCCCTTCCACTTCCCAGGCCCCGACAATCTTGGATCTTTCTTTGGAGCAGCCTGAGATCGTGGATATAGCTGATGCGGAGACGATTCCGGCGCGCACTGGGTTTATGTGTGCTTCTTTATTTATGCTTCTTTCATGGGCGCTTTTTGAAGGATCTTTTTCCCCAAACAGTTTACTGTTGGGGTTCTATCTTAGAAAGAAAAGAGCTGGCCACACTCACTGGCCGCGCCCCTGAACTCTGTGGCTGGGCTCCGTGGCTGGGCTCTGTGTCCGCCTCTTGTCCTCCTCTTGGCCGCGCCCCTGAACTCTGTCAACTCTGTGGCTGGGCTCTGTGGCTGGGCCTTGTCCCCCCTCTTGTCCTCCTAGTATACAGCAACTCTGTGGCTGGGCTCTGTGGCCCGGCTCTGTGTCCGGGTCTTGTCCTCCTCTTGTCCTTGTCTTGGCCGCGCCCCGGAACTCTGTGGCTGGGCTCTGTGGCCCGGCTCTGCGTCCGCACCTTTGCAAGAAGGACAAACAAACAACTATAGGGTCACTCAAAAAGTTTTGTGTTTTCAGTTTTCTGAGCTTAGTTTGCTATATCTCCATCCACCTCCCATATATATATATATA